TGATGCTTAGCTCCAGGGACTCTATTTTCCTTGCAATGAGACTACTACACACATGATAAGTTTAAAAATGTGTTAGTCTCAAAGCATCCAACTTGTAGAGTAATCCTCCCCTTAAATTTGTGCACACAAGTGTGGAATACTTGTAGGAATTATGCACATTGTTTTTTTAAATCAAAATACTACTTGAAAGATGACATCTCATCAATGTGAGAATCATTTTCAAAGAAGATATTTGGAAGAGATTATCTACAATTTGGACTTTGGCACATATTAGATGAACAATTGTAAGACAAGCTATGTGCCGTGCTCCTAAACAATTTTACACCATATAGGTTTGCTCCAAGGGTTAAGAGTGAAACCGAGCAAGCCTACCATAAGATATACCTAATGTATGCATGACAAAAGATACAAGCATGCAAATGCAAACATATGCATGAATAGTAACTAGTATGCGTAAAGATGCCAATTTGTAAGAAATACCAATTGAAAGCAATAACATCTAGTTACCTAACATGGGAAGGGGAATTTGGGTCCATAGTATTCACTAACCCACTTGGCAATTATTTTGTCAATCGTGATGCACCCCATGTAATGCACCCATACTTTGCCAAGTCTCCAAATTTCCCGATGTTCGACGGACTTCTCACTTCCCTTTTGGGATCCAAACCTTCTTGGTGCTTTTCATGTTGGAGATGATTTCCTTTGACACCCAAAAACGTTTGACCCCATTGTTGGCTTGCTTGTTCACCTTGATGGCCACCACCTTGTCATTTTTCTTCTTCTTCAAGAGATAAGGTGTGGAGGCCTTCTTGTCCACCTTGTTGGTGTAGGTGTTGGAGAGCTTGCTTGTTGGTTTCTTCTCTTTCTTCTTTGCTCCTCCCCCATTCTTCACCTTGCACTCATAGGACTTGTGACCTTCCTTGTGGCACACGTAGCAAACCACAGTTTGTCCTTCGTCAAGCTTCTTCACTCCCTTGACGGTGTTATCTTGATGAAGTTGGGCTTGCTTTGCCTTGCCTTTCACTTGAGTCAAGTCCTTGGTGAGGCGAGCTACTTCTTACTTGAGTTGCTCATTCTCCTTTGTAACCTCTTGTGTGCATGTATCTACAATAACTTTCTCAACACAAACTTGGTTGCACAAAGATGAGTCTAAACATAAATCATTACAAGAAGTAGATGCATCCTTTTTAGACATGTTAAAGATAGAACTTTTCCTTTTAGATGCCTTGGTGGGGGTGTTATTAAGGGCTTCAAGATTAACAACTTTATTAGCTAGCTCATCACAATGTTTGCACATGGTTTCCATTTTAGTAAGCAAACTTTTATAAGCATCTTGTGAGCTAGCTAACTTTTCTTTTAATTTTTCATTTTTCTTTACAAGTTGCTCATCATTGATTGTGCATTCATTTGTTGTTGCACTAGCCTTAAGTTGCTCAATTTTAGTAGATAGTTTAACATTGAGATTAGCAAAGTTCTCATATTGTTCAAGCAAGGTTTTGTATGCTTCTTGTGAACTATCTAGCTTTTCATTTAAACTTTTGAGCTTCTTTTGTTGACTAGTGCAAACTTTAGCATATTTAAGATTTTGTTGCACAATTTCATGATAAGAAGGTATATCATTATCATTATCACTCTCACTAGAGGTTGAGCTTTCGTTACCTCATGCCATAAGGCACACACGAGAAGAGCGTGATGATGAGTGCTTGCAACCTCGCCTCTTGTGATGGTGCTCTTCTTCACTTGAAGAATCATCCCATGATCTTATTGATGTGAGAGCTTGGTTCTTGCATGCCTTCTTCTTTGTCTTGGGTGTGGGCTTGTTTGGACAAACTTCCACAAAGTGCTCCAACTCACAGCATCCATAGCATCCTTTCTTTCTTTGCTCATTTCTTTGATTGGTGAAAATGAGATCTTGGATTTGGATAGGCACACCCTTGACATTGAGCCTTTGGATCATCTTCTCCACCTTGTTGATTAGTTTGATTGATTCTTCATCAAGGTCGGAGGTGGAGGAGGAAGATTGATCATCATCACTTGAATCTTCTTCTTCTTCTTCTTCTTCTTCATCATCTTCTTCATCTTCACTTGAGGAGCTTGAGCTTGTTTCAACTTGCTTCCCCTTCATCTTCTTTTTCTCGCTACATGCGAGAGCTTTGCCTTTGCTTGATGAAGAAGCTTCTTCTTGACCCATCTTACGTGACATTTCAAATGCCACTAGCTTGCCAATGACTATGCCTGGGGTCATGGTGCTCAAGTCCTCCATGTTATGAAGGATGGTAATGATGCTTGCATATTTCTTTTGTGGTAGCACAGAGATGATCTTCCTCACGATGTCCGCATCATCTAGCTTTAATAATCCTATTGAATGGAACTCATTGATAATTAGATTCAAACGAGAATACATATCCCGAACATGCTCATCGTCATTCATTGTAAAGGAATCATAATTTTGTTTGACTAGACAATGTTTTTGCTCACGGACATTACTTGTGCCGTCAAGGAGCTCTTGGAGTTTTAACCAAATTTCATGTGCCGTATTTAAGGTGAATACTTGGTTAAACACATCCATACTAAATAATTCAAACAAGCAATTTTTAGCTCTAGCATTGAAATGCATTTCTTTTTCATCACTCTTAGTGGGTTTTTTGGGATTCTTGATGGGTTTCATCCCGTCACGAGTGACTCTCCATACACCCAAATCAACCGCATCAAGGTGGCAAGCCATTCTAGCCTTATAATAAGGGAAGTTAGTGCCGTCAAAGTGCGGAGGCCTAGTAGTATCCATCCCAACCATTCTAAATAGCGTCGGTTCAACGACGGTTAAGTCAAAGGTCCAAAATGAGTCAACCGGCTCCGATACCAATTGAAGGGACCGTGACGCTTAAGAGGGGGGGGTGAATTAGGCAACTTAAAAATCTAACTCTAAACTATGGCCTCTTTTTCTAACTCTAGCAAAACCTATGCAAAAGATAAACTATCTAAATGTGCAACTACGGTTTTGCTAGTGTATAGCTATCTCTACCGCAAAAGAAGTAATACAATTAAAGTAAATATAGAAGCTAAAGAGCAAGGTAGAGATATGCAAACTCCCGTCGACGACTCCGGTATTTTTACCGAGGTATTGAGAAGCGTGCAACCTTCTCCTTAGTCCTCGTTGGAGCCCCTCGAAAGGAATCCCTCGCAAGGGCCAAGCTCCCGGTCGGGTAACTCCGTGGATAGCCTTGGGCCTTCCCCACGTGCAAGTGGGTCTCCGACGTGCCTTCCGGTAAGCCTCTCCCAGATGCTCCCCGCCGTCTTCACTATCAAGCTTCCGGCCAAAACACCGCGGGCGTTGTTCCCTCAGGTACACGGTGGCGGCCACACCACAAACGCGGTTGGTGTGATCTCGCAAAACTACAAGCCCCTCCGATGTACAACAATTGGTGCGCGCAAGTACCGAGTGGTAAGAGGTATGCAAACCTCACTAAACACTAGGCCTAAACCTAGAGCAAGCGCATAAGCGGTGGTCTAATCAACCTAAGCACTTCGCAAAACACCTACGCTAATCACCTAATGAAACACTAAGCACTATGCAAGTGGAGATCACTAAAATGGTGTATCAACACCCTAGATATGTTTCCTCAGCTCCACACACCTCAAATTACCGATTGGGGGTCTATTTATAAGCCCCACTGAGAAAGTAGCCGTTGGGGACGAAATCCCGCTTTTCTGCTACTGACCGGACGCTGAAGTCGTCCTGACCGGATACGTCCGGTCGTTCCGACCGTTGGAGCCGCGAACACTTGATCGGACGCTGCCAGCGTCCGGTCACCTGCCACCGGACGCGTCCGGTCGCAGTTTCGCCGCTCTGGAACCTCTCTGTACTCGATCGGACGCTGCTGCCCTGTGTCCAGTCGGTTTCGCCGCCAGCATCCGGTTCAGCCTCCGGTCGCTGCTGCTGACGCCAGTTTGTCGAGCTTCTTCACCGACTCGTCCGGTCCAGCGTTCGGTCGCTTCTGCGAGCTCGTTTCTTCGCGATCTTGCGTACGGCTTGGTTCCTATCTTCGTGCTTGGACTTTGCTTGATGTCTTGGGTCTTCTCTTGAGCTTCTAAGGTCTTGATTATGGTGTTGATCATCGGATCATCACTTCGCCTTCGTCCAAGTCACATCTTGCACCCTATTGGACTACAAAACAAACACTTGCAAATTCATTAGTCCAATTTGGTTGTGTTAGTTATCAAACACCAAAATCCAAAGTAAATGGACCTAGGGTCTATTTTCCTTACACATGGCTCATGCGACGCGCTTGGGGTCGGGGGCGTAGACACGGCTCAGCAGAGAAGCGTTGCGGCGTGGCTATGGCGGGTTCGGAGATGCCGCGGTGGGGGAAGGTGCGCGGGTGGAATGAGCGGACGGAGGCATTCGTCCGTCTGGACATCTTGTATGTTTCATTATCGTTATCTAAATACTCAGGGGGCATTTAAGAGTTACTCCCTATATTCTAAATTATAAGATGTTTTGATATTTTTTTAGATCATAGCTTTTGCTACGTGCTTAGATATACATTATGCTTAGATGCATAGTAAAAGCGATGTATTTAGAAAAACTAAAACGTCTTATAATTTGAAATTGTGGGCATCTACCTCCTGTATATATATTTGGAGTGAATGAGGGCACAAAGAAGCATTCCAAATATGGTAATAGCATAAATGAATTACTACAAGGCCCTCTTACACTGAAGTTATACTTAATGCTCCCAATCAATTTTGCTCTTGGATCGGCCTATGGTCGCTGGTGGGAGACACTATTTAAAAGAGGGCTATTCTCCTGCACCCACCCAACGGTCCACCACACTGCTTGCAATGGCTTCGTCGACCTGCATAGAGGGCGATCGGCATTGCTTCCTCTACCTACACAGAATTTGACTGGTACTACACGAGCACATGCACAGCCATGAAGTGTCTGATGATATGATAGCCCCTGGCCCTGGGATGATTAGCAGCTGATCTCCCAAGCTACCATGCAGCAGCAGCAAGGAAAGGCCGCGGGAGGAGCTGAGCTGCAGCTGCAGCTGCAGATGAGAGGAGGGAGCGAAGAGGAGGAGGAGCTGGTTCTGGCCACGTGGGACTGCGGCAGCCCGCTGTACAACTCCTTGGAGCTCGCGTCGCTGCACTACGTCCTCGAGAAGCACACGATGGTCCTGCCGTTCTTCCCCGACGCCGCGGTGTTGCGGTCGCGGCGGCGTTCGCAGCGTCGGCATCATCGGGGCGGCGCCGCCCTGCCGCCCGACATGGCCAAGGCCGGCAACCGCGGCGCGGGCGCGGGCGCTGCGAGGAGGAGGACGAGGGGGTGGAGCGGCGCTGCCGCAGCTGTATTCAGGGCTGTTACGTGCTGGAGGACCGTGCTTTCTCAAAGCTAGCTGCTGATACAAACATTTATGTCAAGCTGTGTTCGTCAGAGCTGTTGCGGTTCCTTGTCTTTTTGTTTAAATCCTCACTTCACCCTCTAAGGCTCTAATGTGAAACATGCATGCAAAACTGGAATTCGCATCATGCGCGTGTCCTGGATGGGATCCTGTGTCGGACCAGGGATGAAACAGAGCCCTTCCTTCATGCAGGGTACGTCGTGTTTGGCATGCCTCCATCTAGACTCCCAGTGATTATATATATTCTACACGCACGGGCCGGATTAAAATGGAATACTTTTCGTAATATATTGATCTTCTTGTCTTGCACAAAGGTTCGGCCAGAAAAAAAGAAAGAAAGTTCTAGTCAAGAAGAGCATCATGAACCTCCTGCATATATATCAGACATAACACGGCAACATGCCATGTCACAAGTCACTGTGATGGAGGATTGGAGGAGAACAAATGGATGCTTTTTATGTCACTAAACGTATGATGTTGACATCCAGTAACGAAATGGCCATCGGCCAATTGTCATAGAAGATGCGATGCGTCTCTAAGCAACAACTTCTAAAAACAAACCTTAGCAGCCATGTTCCCGTTTCCGTTCACGCTCCCGGAACGAGAACTTGAGGTATCATTTTATAACATAGGAATGGGGACGTTCTCGTTCCCGGAACGTAGACGTTCCCGGAACGTGTAACTTGATAACGGGAAATGTTCCCATTCCTAGGCTGCTAAGCAACAAACGGGTGACAAAACATCATAGAATTAGGGACAAAACACATCATCATAATAATAAAATCATAAGCCATTATTATTATTTTTTGATCCTTAACATGGCTCTACGGCCTTGCATTAGTAGACTCATGCTCAGCCAAATCGCGAGCAAACAAGTTTGTTACAAATTTAGGGAGGGGGTCAGCCCATCATGATCTCAGAATATTACAAATGTTAAGATAATTGAAATTCTCATGAAGAAGGCTACGGATGTCAAAAAAAAAAGGCTACCGCCAATGGACAAGTCTGTTTTTCATCATAAAATTTGTCACATAACCATGGCCCATGTGGCTGTAGCTTTTATGGGCCAATTTCTAAACCAGGTTGTTTGGGCTTAGCCCATTTTATGATCCAATTTGGGGCCTAATATTTTCTTAACCCAGTTTGGTAAACTGTGTGTGCCTTTGTGGGCCTAGCTCATTTTGAAGCGAACTTTATAGGTGACATCAAATTCAAGCCAATTAAATATCGCCAAGGCCCATTCAAACAAACGTGACAAGTCTTCCAAATTGAAGAGCTAGCCGTCACTATTGCAACATCAGACGTTGCATCAAAAAAAAAAAAACTTTCAAGGCAAATTCAATTAATTAATAAAATGAATTGTAGGTTCAGGAAACACAAGTATACATGTAGTAGCTACTTGGCAGTTATAAAAAATATGGTACAATAGTTTTTTCACAAGGAAACACATACCTCCAACAAAAAATATCAAAAATATACAATAGTTTTTTCACAATTAATTTCTACTAGCAAACGTGCCCATGCGTTGCAATGCGAGAAAAAGTGCCACATGCTTATTTATATGTTGGCAACATATCATGTGCAAACCAACCAATCTATGCAAACTTAGAAAACTACCGATCAGGACCACTGGATGCTGATCCAATGGATGGGGTGAGGGGGTTTAAGCACAAAAAAAAGGAAGGCGGATGGGGGGCTTAAGCGCAAAAAAATACCACCTCTCACCCCATTCATTGGATCAGCATCTAGTGGTCCTGATTGGTAGTTTCCAAGTTTGCACAGGTTAGTTGGTTTGCACCTTATACGTTACCTATGTTTTTTCCTTTTTTATAAAGTTTGAGAGCTATAATTTATTTTGTGACGACAACGAAAATATAAGCAAATGTTGGCAATATGCTGGTACAATTAAATATAAAATTTCATGAATTCTTTTGAAGACACGTAAAAACCTGTAACTCAAGTTAGCGTGGCATTAGTTATTGATATCAAGGGCTACTATTTGTGATGATTATGACAGAAGGCCGCTGTCGATTTTCCACATCGTTTCATTGTCGGTGATGGCACTGGTGGCAGGAGGCACATTTATTTAGAGATAACAAACTACTCAAGATCTAATTTCATGATTTTATTTTGGATTATCGACTAAATCAGGTTATAATAATATGAGTTTTGCTTTTAATACATTAATAACTTGGTGGTAGAAATATTTATTTCTCATCAAAGGAATATGAAGTTCAAAGCCTATATATTGTGCTGTTTTTATTTTTATTTTTATTGTTATTATTTACCTACCTGTTTCTACATTTATTTAGTTGAACGTGTGAATAAGGAAATGTAACTGCCGGAACTGAAAAAACGAATCAGAAAAAAAATCATGTCCGGCTAGGAGTCAGCTCTTGTTCCCGTCCTCTTGTTGGTCTCTACGTCAAAAAAGAAAAAAGTCCGAACGTTCTTGGACAAACTAAAAAAAAAAACAATTAGAGCAGAAAAAAATATATTCTGTAGAATTCTACTCTCGTTCCAGCACCGAACCATGTCACCGACGTGCTCCGCTCTGCCTCCAGCACCGCCACCGTGAGCACCTTCTCCGACCTCGCGACATCGCTGTCCGTGAGCGCCTCCGCTGCCGGACCACCTCTGTGACCTCGCCGTCGGCCTCTCCCTCCTTGCTGACCGATGCCGGAACCGTGCCACGACACCGCCACCTCCCTGCTCCGCATCACGACCAAGCCGCGCCCTTCCTCACCGTTGGCATCCCTCGTCAGCGCTGTCGAGCTCCTCCTCGCTGAGACCCGCCCGCCGCCTGCCATGGCTGTGCCCTGCTCTTCCTGGACGATGGAGCCGAGCTGCATCATCTCCGCCGAGCACGTCCATTGTCGGCCTCCTCTGCTCCACCGTCGCCTAGGAGCACGTCTGCCCCACTTCGACCCGGGCGCAGCAGTCCAGCCACCACAGCAACCCCATTGACCTGCCTCTCTTCAAACTCGGGTGGGGCTATTTCTGCAGCTACCGCCGACGCCAACCTCGCTGGAGCTCCCTTTTCCACCGTCGCTGCAGCCTTGCAGCATGTTTCGTCGACTCCGGCCATCACCGTGGGGGACCAGAGCCGCGTCCAGCAGCAACGACCACCTCCCGGACGTCTGCTGCCACCTCCAGCAAGCTGCCGGCCAGCCGCAGCTAGCCGTAGCCAGCCGCAGCCAGCTAGTAGCAAGCCATAGCTAGCCGCAGCTATGCAGCAACAGGCCGCAGCAAGCTACAGCTAGCTGTAGCTCGCCGGAACGCGCCGCTGGAGCCCATCTTCCTCATCACAGCAAGGTCATCCCTTTGAACCTAGTCGACGCCGTTCTCAACGTCGGCAAAACTCCTAATTTACATTTCCTTGCTCTATCATACTTGTGATACATGATCTATCTATATGGATTATCTATACTTGTTCATACACTTCATACATGATATCTATCCTATGCCTATGTCGTGCCTTTGTCGCTGATCTAATCTGTTATTGCTATGGATAAGTGCTACTCCGTCGCTTGTTTGTGTTGTCGGTTCTTCGTGTGTCTGTGTTGTTGCCTGTGTCGTGCCTTTGAGCCGGTTGAGAGAGCGATATGCTTGAATGTTACGATCGCGAGTTCGTCTCAACATGACCGCAACGCTGAGCATATCCCCTCTCTCGTGTTTTAGTTGTCTCCGTCGAACTACGATAGTTAGCGACCCTATTCGGCCCTTGGATGAGGCCACCATGGATTAGACGTTGGTGCGCTTCCACCCGTACTTGGCGAACCCTTCATGACCTACCCTAGTGGGAGAACTAGGGGACGACCATCGTGGGACTTATGGAAGCCAACTCATTTAGGTGAAGCTCATGGCCCCGAGTTGCCTCGCCATGACCATTGGGCTTTATCTCTTTTGCTCGCTTGTTTATCCTAACCACCTCGTATGCTTGTACCACATTGACCATAGCATTTCTTCAGATCTAGCGGTGACAACTGCATCGCTACGGACCTTAGGGATAGCCTTGTGCCGATTTATTTGCACGGTCGTGGTGACCTACGAGTGGGTTTGGATTGTGGGATTGTGTCCCCTTTCTTCCAACCTTCGTCCATTCCATGATGAGTTGGTCGAAAGAGTGCGGATTCCATTCTTCCCTCCTCTCTTGTTCTCAATCCTCGTCAATCCAGTAAGGTGTTTATTGCTCTCTTGATTCCATTCCTTCGATTCCCGACGTTTGCTATGGTGAGTGGATCAAAGGAAGCTGAATCCCGTGTCCCCCTCTTTTGGTTCTGTCATGCTTAAGCCCTTGTATGCTTGTACCTATTTAGACCGTAGCATTTCTTTGGTTCTTGCGGTGACAACCGCACCGCTAAGAACCCTGGGGATGTCTTAGTGCATTTAGTGCACCTAGGTCGTGGTACCCTACAAGTAGTTGGGCACTCGTGTTCTCTTGGGTGTCGCTCCTTTCGATGCCCTGTCTCTTGCCATGACGTGTGGATTGGAAGAGTAGACCACCTCCCTTCTCTTCTCTCCCCCGTTCCACCCTATCTTGGTTTTCATCAATTATAATGGCGGATGGATTGAGAGAGACTGGAACTGCTTCCTTTCCCACTTAATCTCCATGACGTCCAGATTAGAAGACCACAAACCGTGGTGTTTGCTTAAGATGAGCTAGGGTCTATGCCATTTTTATTGAAGCCGTACAGGCCAACACGATTGACCCAGGAAGTACTTGCTAGGATAAGACTTAAGCTTGTGCTTAGCAAACAACCACTTCTATTTCTTTTGGCCCAGGGAGCGGACTTCCGCCAAGAGGGCTAAGTCTTCTTCCCCTAGTGTTCTTTTGGTGTTGTTTGATCTTCTGTGTCTTGTTGCCTCTTTTGTTCACAGTCTTTATAGGTTTAGTGGATTGATTGTTCTTTTGCCTTGTTTGTCGCTCTATCGAGGTAGTTACACCGAGGATAGCATTGATCGGACCGGAACCCATTGGAGGAAGGAAACGC